TGTGTGTGTGTGTGTGTTTGTAGGTGTTTTACGGTACTCGCAACTGCATAAGATCATATGAGCGCCCAGTAAGAGTTCTACAGCACTTACAACAACACAAACAGGTCATATAAGTTAGTGGCGAAGATTAGAGGTGTTACTAGAGAGTAACATACAACGATAGGAAGGAGGAGAAATGAAGACGACAAAGATGTTTGATAGGAAGGAGAGATCAAATCACAACAGAACACCCGCCAGCCACCCACAATCAGCATCTTCTGTGACTTTGAAGTGTCGGAGATTGCGTCTCACAGTCCAAAATATAACAAGAAGTTTTTAGGGGTTTTCCACTTTTTTTGACGAAGGCGTATTTACAACGCAGTGGATACAACGTAGATACTTTAGGTGGATGGTTGGCGGGTGCTCTGGTGTGGTTTGCCGCTTCTTTCCTGTCAAACATCTATCGTCCTTATCTCTCCTCCTTTTTTGTCTGTTACTCTCTTGTAACACATCTATTATTCGGCACTTATATGACCTTATTGTATTGCAAGTGCCGTATAACTCTTACTAAAACTAGATGCTATAGGAGGCACGCTTCACCTTGTTTGTCAGGACCAACCTGGGCTGAAAGGGATACAAAATCCCAGCAGAAAGACCGATATACTCGATGAAATTAATATAGTTCTCCTAAGACGGGAATGGAATTCAGTCCTTCTGTGTGCCACGACGAGGCATCTTATCGCTACACCACAGTCGTTGGTATTTAAAGGTTTATGACAATTTCCGGACTTGTCTGTCTATTTGCCTGTCTGTCTGTCTATGTGTCTATCTGTCGGTCTGTCTGTCTGTCTGTCTGTCTGTCTGTCTGTCTGTCTGTCTGTCTGTCTGTCTGTCTGTGCAAAGTTCTGAATGTTTTTCCTTGTCTAAGCTCTGAGCGTGTGTGCATTTTGGCAAAGGTACAAGTGTACGTGTATAGAACGAGCCTTTACAACAGCCATTGAGTATCTTTTCTGTCTGCCTGTCCGTCTGTCAGTCTGTCTGTCTATGTGCCTGTCTGTTTTCCTGTCAGTATATCTATCTATCTATCTATCTGTCTGTCTGTCTGTCTGTCTGTCTGTCTGTCTGTCTGTCTGTCTGTCTGTCTGTGTCAAGGTGATGATCTTTTTCCCCCAGACGGACCCCCCTACCCAGCAAGTGCCATAACCAGCCACACAGGTGCTCCTGCCTACAGAAGGGGCACCGGCGACCCACACAACACAAGAGTGGAGAAAACTCTGACCTTTGCCTCGACCAATCACCGTGGAGATGGTGACAGCAGCGACCCGCCCCCTTCCGGTGTGGGAGGAGCTTCAAATTCCAGCCCGCCCCCTTCTAGTATGGGAGGGGCTTCAAATTCCAACCCGCCCCCTTCTAGTATGGGAGGGGCTTCAAATTCCAGCCCGCCCCCTTCAAATGTGGGAGGAGCTTCAAATTCCAACCTGCCCCCTTCTAGTAATGGAGGGGCTTCAAATTCCAGCCCACCCCCTTCAAATGTGGGAGGAGCTTCAAATTCCAACCCGCCCACTTCAAGTGTGAGTGGAGCCTTAAATGCGAACCCACCCACTTCCGGTGTGGGAGGGGCTTCACGTTCCCAGGCCACGCCCCCACCTAGGCTGTCCCCGTTGTTGTGGCGATCGTCACCACGAGTCGCCCCGCCCCTGCGTCAAGTGCCTCGCGCCCCTAGCGTTCTCACGTTCACCGTGCCTGGAGCTGTGGAGGGAGTGGCTGCTGCTGCTGATGATGATACTGCTGATGATACTGCTGATGATACTGATAATGATACTGATGAAACATCTGCGGCATCAAACTCTGCGTCAGTACCGTCCTCGTCCTATCCATCGTTGTCATCATCATCCTTGTCGTTGTCGGTGTCATCGCTGTCCCCCCACCAGTCTCAAACACCGAGGCTCTCATCGACTTTTGTGAAAGAGTCGCTTGTATCATCACCACCACCCGAGTCGTCATCGTTGTTTTCGTTGTCGCAAACATCCCAACCAGACGCCGCAACAAGATCACAAAGATCGCCACGAGAACCACGGTCAACTACAGCAACCCCGTCCTCACCCACCACACAATCCGCACCGGCTACAACAACAACAACAACAGCAACAGCATCATCATCGTCGTTGGAACAGTCGACTTCGTCTACATCCGCAAACCTCACAACGTCACAACCGACACACCTGTCGTCCACATTCCCCCCGTCGCGGCCACCGATCAAAGCGTTGACGAGGGTCAAACGTCAGTCATCCTCCCTGCAGACATCCCAAACGCTCGCACCCTCCACAGCGCCCACGCCATCACCACGCACAACAACATCCTCATCAGCGACATCTGCAACATCATCAGCAACACCACCCACAACATCAGCAGCGGCAACATCAGCAGCAACATCATCAGCAGCAACATCATCACCAATATCATCATCTGCAACATCATCACCAACGTCGTCAGCAACATCATCATCTCCATCGCCTTCACGAACATCTGCTGACGACAGCAGCAACCCCGTGCCTACGTATCTATCTCACCCCGCCTCAACACCACAGCCCGTGCCTACCGCAAAGTCTTCACCCACCCACCCCCGTGCCTCCGCCAACCAAGACCAAGCTATGACGTCATCAGTAACTACAACCACAACAACAGCAGCAACAGCAGCCACCAGAGAAACAGGATCGACAGTATCACCAGCAGATAAAACCGACCCCAGGAGTTCAAAGACATCATGGACAACACCCCCTTCCCCCCCAACCACCACACACGACACGACACCTGTGCCTGACCTACCAGACAACAAAAGTACCCTGGGAAATTCCTCCACATTAACGACCAGCCTGTTCACCACAACTACATCACCCTCTGAAGTGACCAGTGCCACCAAAGTAGATCCAACAGCTGGGGCAGTTAACAGAGCAGGCAGCGTTTTAACAAATGCAAGTTTGTCCCCATCAAAGACTGGCCTGTTTTCAACAGCAGCGTCGTTACCTGAAGCAGCCGGTACCGACCGTAAAACGACTGCACCCGTAGCCTCAACAGACCCACCAACAGTTACACGGAAAGAGAAACCAAACTCAGAGAACGCCATCCTTTCGTCAACGACTCACGTGACGAACACTACAAAAACACCGCCATCGGAGACACCCGACCGAAAACTCTCCACTCCGACAGTCAAGCATACCCCACAAACATCCACAATGGAAAACCAGGTGTCCAGCGAGATATCCAAATCTCCCTCACCAAAGACGATGACTCAGCATCTCACGACGATTACGTCACAAACTCGGACAACGACTGACACAGTTAAGGACATGACATCCCCGGTGTCTACAGCTGGGGCAACAATGGCAAACCAAAAGCCAGGAGCAGAGAAGAAATCCTCTTCCTCAGAGATAAACTCAGTTTCGACGATATCATCGCCAGAAAGAACTACCTTGAGGCACGAAACCACTACAAGTAAATTGTCGACTGAACTACCAACAATTTCTACAGACAAATCACGCACGGTCCTCTCTTCGTCTGACCCCGCGATGACACCCACACGTTCCCAGCCAAAGATACAAGCCACAAGTCTCAAAGACACGTCCCAAGAACGTTCTACGGAAAGTCCCACAACATTGGGCAAAGAATCACGATCATCTTTCTCACCAACTGTGCCTACAGCAAATGTGGAGTTGGACACGAAAACAACAGGACGCGACAAAACGACACGCGTACACTCCTCGGAAATGCCTGACACTGAGAGACAGGACCCAGCTACAAACTCACACACGTTTGACTCGAGTGTATCCACAACACCTACCACAACAACAACACCTACCACAACGACAACAACAACTCCACCAACCACATTAGTAACAACAACAACAACACCAACCTCAACTGCAATGCCAACCACAACAACAGCACCAACCACAACAACAAGAATGCCAACCACAACTGCATTAGTGACAACAACAACAACAACACCAGCCACAACTTCATTGATGACAACACTGACAGTGCCAGTCACCACAACAACACAGGCAACAGAAACAACAGCAGTACCTACAACAACAACAACAAAGAAAACAGCAACAACAACAATACCAACAACTACAACAATACCAATAACAACCACAACAACGACATTACCAACAACATTACCAACAACAACAACAACAACAACACCAACACTACCAACAACAACAACAACGTCAAAAATACCACTTACAACTTCAAAAATACCACCACCACCAACAACAACAACAACACTACCATCACCAACAACAAAAGTACCACCCCCAACAACAACAACAGTGCCAACAACATCAAAAACACCACCACCACCACCAACAACACTACCAACAACAACACCACCACCACCACCAACAACTACTACAACACCACCAACCACAACCACAGAACTAAGCGCACCTACAACGAATCCCAAATCCAGACCAAATCTCGCAATTCTCAAAGACACCACAATCAATCTGCCTTACCGCGTACTAACACAAAGTCCTTTCACGACAACTCTTACAACCGATAGGAACGGTGGAGAGATGGACGGTGCACGTGTGCGCAACTCAACCCCCCCTGCCACACCGTGGGTGCTCGCTTTGAGAAGCACGAGCGAGCGACCCAGAAGGGTAGCCAGGGCTGCCAGTACCACCACCTCTGTGACGTCACAAGGGTTGTCGTCAACGGTCACATCTACTATGACCGACACAGCGACTACTGCAACAACTGGGGCTACGACGACTGGTACCGCTACTGCTACTTCTATTGCTGCTGCGACCACAACAACATCTACAACAACAACAACACCACCACCACCAACAACAACAACAACAACAATGCCACCGACTACATCAATAATGCCAACCACAACAACAACAACAACACCACCACCAACGACAACAACAACAACAACAGCAACAACAACTATGCCACCAACTACATCGATAATGCCAACCACAACCACAACAACAGCAACAACAACAATGCCACCGACTACATCGATAATGCCAACCACAACAACAACAACAACAACACCAATGACAACAGCAACAACAACAACAGCAACAACAATACCACCAACTACATCAATAATGCCAACCACAACAACAACACCACCACCACCACCACCAACCACAACAATAACGCCAGCGACAACGACAATGCCACCCACAACAACAACAATGCCAACAACAACAACAACAACAATAGCACCAACTACAACAACAACAACAACAATGCCAACAACAACGACAATGCCACCACCAACAACAACAACAACAATAGCACCAACTACAACAACAACAACAACAACAATGCCAACAACAACGACAATCGCACCACCAGCAACAGCAACACAGTCAACAACAACAACAACAACAACAACAACAACAATGCCAACAACAACAACAACAACAACAATGCCAACAACAACAACAACAACAATGCCAACAACAACGACAATAGCACCAACTACAACAACAACACAGTCAACAACAACAACAACGAAAATGCCAACAACAACAACAACAATAGCACCAACTACAACAACAATAGCACCAACTACAACCATAGCACCACCAACAACAACAATAATGCCAGCTACGACAACAGTACCAACAACAACAAAACAATCAACAACAACAACAATAGCACCAACTACAACAACAGCACCTACCACCACAACAATGCCAACAACAACAACAACAACAACAACAACAACAACAATGCCAACAACAACAACAGCAACAATAGCACCAACCACCACAACAATACCAACCACAACAACAACAACAACAACAACAACAACAACAACAACAACAACAACAACAACAATGCCAACAACAACAACAACAGCAACAATAGCGCCAACCACCACAACAATATCAACCACAACAATAGCACCAACCACAACC